AAGGACATGTATGATGCGGCTAAGACTCGGGTTAGGACAATAGGAGGCGACTCTAAGCATTTTTCGGTTGTAATAGGGTTACACCAAGGTTCTGCGCTCAGTCCATTCTTATTCGCCCTGGTGATGGACGCGTTAACACACCATATTCAAGGGGAGGTGCCATGGTGCATGCTATTCACCGATGACATAGTTCTGATTGATGAGTCGCGATCTGGTATTAACAAGAGGCTGGAGGTTTGGAGACAGGCTCTTGAGTCTAAGGGTTTCAAGCTGAGCAAGACGAAGACGAAATACCTAGAGTGTAAGTTCAGCGCTGAGCCAGGGGAAGTGGGCGTGGATGTGAGGCTTGAATCACAGGTCATCCCAAGTAGAGGCAGCTTCAAGTACCTTGGGTCGGTTATCCAGGGGGGAGAGGAGATCGACAAGGATGTCACACACCGTATTGGGGTAGGATGGATGAAGTGGAGGTTAGCATCTGGAGTCCTGTGTGATAAGAGAGTGCCACTGTTACTCAAAGGTAAGTTTTATAAAGCGGTGGTTAGACCGGCCATGATGTATGGGGCTGAGTGTTGGCCTGTTAAGAACTCACATATCCAGAAGATGAAAGTAGCAGAACTGAGGATGTTGAGGTGGATGTGCGGGCACACTAGGATGGATAAGATTAGAAATGATGTTATTCGGGAGAATGTGCACGTGGCTCCCATTGATGCCAAGACGCGGGAAGCAAGCTCAAATGGTTCGGGCATGTTAAGAGGAGAAGCCCAGATGCTCCGGTAAGGAGGTTTGAGCGGCTGGTTGTGGAGGGCGCGAGAAGAGGTAGAGGGCGGCCTAAGAAATATTAGGGAGGGTGATCATGCAGGATATGGCAAGGCTTCAAATTTTCGAGGACATGACACTTGATAGGAAGATGTGAGGTCGAGTATTAGGGTTGTAGGTTAGTAGGTAGTTGAGCCTTGCCCTACTTCGTACCTTTGTGAGAGTAGTCTGGTAGGGTTTTGTCTAAGATAGCTAGTGGCAATGTTGTGTCTTATTATTTCGCTTTCCAGTGCATGGCCTATTTATTAGCTATCGCTTTTGCTTTGCATCTTTCTTCTGGATTTCATGTTGTTCATATTTTTCCTATGATTTCTGATGTGATACTAATATTGTCTCCTTTTGTCTTTTTATTTTCTTGAGCCGAGGGTCTTTCGGAAACAGCCTCTCTACTCCTTCGGGGTAGGGGTAAGGTCTGCGTACACACCACCCTTCCCAGACCCCACTAGTGGAATTTTACTAGGTTGTTGTTGTTGTTGTTGTAACTTATCCAGGGAGTACTATTCCATTCTCTAACAGGTACAAGTTATCCTAGTACTAATTTTAATTATGGGAATAACTTATCTCAGGATTAGTAACCAAACAAGGGATAAGGCATAAGCCGATACTAAATTAATTTTGCTTATCCACGTACCAAACGACCCCTTGGTGTATTACAAAATGAAGGTTTTATTTAGATAAATTTATTTTACCAAAAACCAGAATTTATAGTTAAAGAGCAATGAATTTCGCGTTTTTGTTGGAAGTCGCACTTAAACGGATTTCTAATTTTATTATGAATTTGATATATGCTGCAAAGTATACTCACTGAATCTTTCATACTGTCAATCTACTGTGGCCATATATGTTTTATCACACTCCATTACATCCACTCGAAAGAATTTAGGAGTCGTTCGGTACATACAACTAATTGGTTATGCGGGATTATTATGTAGAGATTGCTTATCTAGGATTCATAATAAAAGTATTATTATACGATGATCAATAATTAGGAATTTTCATATATGCATTACTTACTTTACAAGGGCCCTTTTTTTTTTGTATTTAAATAGTTTAATTTTCTATTATAAAATATATATATTTTTTTTCATATTTTATCCTGCAACTAAACTAAGACATAAATTTATACAGAACTCAATCTAGGTGTTATGTAATTCCACCAAGCAACTGCTGCATTAGTTATACGGCAAATATTATTTTTTCTTGTACAGCATCTTCCCCGAGATTTATTTAGGAATTAATTAATCATTTCAAAGAGGCAGGATATTGTTAAGGGGGTTCAAAAAAAATAATTAAAAAAATTAAAAGAGATTGTAGCTAGTGGGAATTGAACCCATGAGCTCACAAAGATTTTGACACTCCTTGACTACTAAACTATGTTTTTAGGCTATGTCAAGGGAATTCAAAATATAATATATAGAGGTTAAAAAAAAGTATATTTTGCCTTATATATACAATGTAATTTTCAGGGTGAATTCCCATCCGCCCTGACATCAACCAAATGACCCCTTAAAAACAAACATAAAATGTAATATAGAGAAGAAGTGTACCTTGCCAATAATTCCTGATATGGTGCTGAGTGCTCAATTCCATGGTCTTAATATATAGCTTAGAGAAAGCATCAGGGCTAACAAAATAGGACATCATCTTCCTCATTAGCTTAGCTTCTTCACCAGAAACAGTAGACAAACACGATCCAAGCAGCTGTCTCACAGAACTTGGCCACCAAACATTGACCAATTTATTCTCATTTCAAACAAGAATTTATTTCCAGCAGGGCCACATAACACAGCAACTTTTTCACCAACTATACAAGTCTTGAAAACTTGAGACTGATACTTCTCTATTCTGTCCGTCACGAATTTCTCTGGGCTTCCGTCCCGTCTTGATCGGAGAAACTCCAGAGTTTCTCCGATCACTGGCCATCCATAGCTGCCGGGAGGAAGATTTGACGTCTTTGTTCTGTTTCTTACAAATAAATCGAAAAGGAAGAGAAGACTTAGGATAGACGCAATAAAAATTGCAAAGCTAATTACTATTTCCATTGACATTTGACAGTAGTATTTCTTTTCACTTCAAAGATCGTTGAACAAAAGGAAATATATACAGATATTTTCTCAAAGCGGCAGTCGACGGCTAAGAGCTTTGAATTGTTTAAAAGATACTCCTCTTTGTCTGCTCTCTTTTGTTTGACAAGTATATTACTCTCAAACTATACATAAAATATGAAACTTTTTTCCCAAAATTAATTCTAAATTTCTGCGTATTTCTCGGTGCTTATGGATTATATAAATTGCAAACCCAAATAAAACATAAGAATTTTCCTACTATCTGCACGTTTGTTGGTGAGTAGAGAAATTTGGGAGAAAATTGAAGCTCTAACAAATTTGGGAGAATTTTTTTGATTAAAAAATGAAATATAACAATGGCTGAAATATGTGCGTTGCTTTCCTACTGTCAGCGTTTGTTGGTGAGCATACGAATTTGGGAGAAAAATTTGGGAAAAGTGACGCTCTAACAAATTCGAATTAAATTTTTTGATTAAAAGCTGAAATACAACAATGGTCCAAATACCTACGTTGCTACATCACAGTGGATATTGGTCTGATGATTATCGATTTATAGATTTTGAAGTTGATAGTATGTTAATCAAATGGAATTGGAATTTCGATGATTTTCAGTTCTAGATTGCAAAGTATCTTCATAAGGAGTTTACGGCTACAGTTGATATCAAGTATACTGTTAAAGACGGTTATCCACTATTAACAGTAAATAGTGATATGGCTTTGAATGATGTATATCAAGTTGAAAGAGACAAATTCGGATGTGACAGCTTTTAGCATCGCACCATGAAGATGAAGATGTTGATATGTTAACAACAGGGAAATCACAGAGTGAAAAGAATATGGAAGCCAATGATATATATGAATATAATTATAAATGCTTTACACAAAAAGGTTGAAGTGGGTCAGTTATTCAAAGACAATGAGACTATACGCAATGTGATGAAATACCACGCAATCAACAATAATTTCTAATTCAAAGTTTGAAAATCATGTTTTAGAAGGTGTGTATGAGATTAGGATTTGAATAAGTTTACCAACACCTGATTCTGTCACCAAAAATACTAGCGAATAATGTAATCTGCTTTGCCCGATGTAGTTTTCGTTGCCTTAGTTTCAACAAGTTAGGTTTACTGTTTAATGTTAACTTTCGGAGTTGTGATAATATACCATATTTTAGTTGGCATATGTTAGAAACTAACATCATACCTATATAATAATAGGTACTTCATTGATTGTGTATATCAAAATTGTTCTTGAGGTTTTAAAGCATCAAGGCTAAACAAGTCTCGTGTTCTCAAAGTTAGAAACTTCAACAAACTTCATGCATGCCCAGTTGATGAAAAAATTTGATACACGTCAGGCTACTTTAACAGCTATGGCGAACATGGTAAAACATAAGCATACTGACCCAAAGTTAGTATACATTTCTGGAGATATACAACGTGACATGTTGAGTGACTATAACGTCACCATGACCTATAAGCAAGCAAGCAGAACAAAGGAAAAGGCTCTTAAAATGATAAGAAGAAACCCAAGTAGTTTATATGTGAAATTGCTAAAATATCTTTATATGTTGGAGGTAACAAATTCAGGATCTGTTACTAAGCTACACAAGTCGGAAGATGGATGCTTCATGTATCTAGTTGTGAAACTTTATGCAGCAATTAAAGGATGGCAGTATCGTTAGCCTATTCTAGTAGTTGATGGGACTTTCTTGAAAGCATCATACAGAGGAATCTTAATCACAGCTTGCACACAAGATGCATCTGATAAGTATAGACCATCAAATATTATACTGTTTATAAAGTTTTTTTCTTAAATCGGTGACATACTTTTAATAATTGAAATCTTTTTATGTAGGTAAAATTCTTCCTCTTGCTTATTCAGTGGCTGATTCAGAAAATGATGTATCCTCGGAATGGTCTTCAGACAATTCAGGAATACATATGACTTTAGGGATGTTATGTGCATAGTGTCAGATAGGCATGAGAGTGTATCCCAAATGCAGTTTCTACTATCTATCAATAGGTACCCTATTGTTTCTGTATTTTCCACCCCTGGAATAACATTAAGGCAAATTTCAAGAAGAGTCATAATCAACTTGTGCAAATATTCTTCAAAATGGCCAAAGCATACACAATTAACGAGTTCAATTACCAAATGGCAGAGATTGAAATAATTGATAAGAGGGTAGAGGAATATCTATTTGATGTTGGATATGGAAAATGGCCAAGAGCACATTCAAAAGTTAATAGAATAACAATAATGACATCTGACATTGCTAAATCCATGAATTCAGCAAATAAGTCTGTAAGAGATCTCCCAGTAACTCCGTTGCTAGATCTCTTGACAAATTTGGTTAAGGAGCGAAACTACAGTAACAAAAAGCTTGCAACAGAAACATTTATAAAGCTTGGACAGAAGTAGGAATATATGCTTCAAGAAAACTTTATTTCTTCACGAAAGATGACGGTATAATTTTTATGACCATACTTATTAGATACATTTCAATTTATATGATACTACGCTAGAACAGTTTATGGTACAATTTTTATATAGTACTGATAAAGCCGTTTTAATAATGTGGGTAAAACCATCAAATAATTTGTTGTATACAATATATGATGGAGGTAGTAGATATGTTGTCTGTATGGAGGAAAGAAGGTGTAGGTGCAAAAGATTTCAATTGAATGAACTTCCATGTCCGCATGCTTTAGAAATTATTAAAAAATTAAATATGGATCCATATCAATATTTCTCAGTATACTATATAAAAGAGTACTTAATGAAGACTTATGAAGAACCAGTGTATCCTATGCCTGATGAAACTACATGGTAGATCCCTACAGAAATCTCAAAGTATGAGCTGTTACCACCCAAAGGGAAGATCAAATGGGAAATGCCACATAAATTGAGATACAAAAAATTGCATGAAAAAAAATCTAAGAGATCAAAAGTTACATGTGATATATGTGGACAAGAGGGTCACAACCGTAAAACATTCAGTAATCCTCCAAATAGCACTTAACATACATTTAATGCCTTAGAAATTTGCATAGTATCAAATTAATTCATTGGATTACTGAAATAATTTTACTCATATATACTTTTCTGGAATAAAGTTCAAGAAATATATTAGTTTTATCTATCTCAACTTCTTTTATTTTATTTCAATTTATGTTTTCAGTTAATGAGATGAGGTGCTAATATATCCAACTGTTTTACTATAAAGAATACCATTATTCCATTTATTCCAAATAGTCTTGGTATACCATAGTATTTACCATCATTAATACTATTCCCCATATTGTTGGTATGCCATTATTCTTGGTATTTTCGATAGAATACCATGATTACTGGTATTCATAGGGGTCCTTGCTATACTACAGAGTATACCAGTAATACCACGATTAGTAATACCAGGGGTCTTGGTATACTCTGTAGTATACCAGGTTTATAGGCATTGCAAGTGGTCTTGGTATCCTATGGAGTATACCGTTATTCCCAATCTTGGTATACTACAGATTATACTACGATATATTACTTCTATTCTCAGTAGTATTAGTATACTACAGAGTATACCATGGTTACTGTATTCCCCCTTAATGTTGGTATACTTCCATTCTTCGTATGCCATGGTTATTGGTTTTCCTATTATAATTGATATACTGATACCAATACTATGGTATTCCCATAGTGTTGGTATACTACTTTTCCAAGTAATGTTAGTATGCTACAACGTATACTATGGTTACCAGTATTCCCATAGTTCTGATATACTATTATAGTAGGTATACCATAAAGTATACCATGGTTACTGGTATTCCCATTATAGTATACCATAGTTACTGGTATTCTCCCATAATGTTGGTATACTACTATTCTTTGTATACCATGGTTATTGGTATTCCCATTGTAGTTGGTATACTACAAAATATACCAGTAACACCACGATTACTGGTATTACCGGAGGTATTGGATACTCTATAGTATCCCATGTTTATTAGCATTGCCAGGGATCTTGGTATACTATGGAGTATGCCATTATTCCCAAAGTTGTATACTATAGAGTATACTACGATTATTGGTATTCTCTGTAGTGTTAGTATACTACAGAATATACCATGGTGCTGGGATTCCCCCATAATGTTGGTATACTTTCATTCTTCGTATACCATGGTTATTGGTATTCGCATAGTGTTGGTACACTAATTTCCAAGTGATGATAGTATGCTATAAACTATACCATAATTAGTGGTATCCCCCCATAATGTCGGTTACTATAATAGGTATACTAGGAAGCATACCATGAACTGGCGTTTCCATTATAGCATATCATAGTTGGTGATATCCCCCCATAATGTTGGTATACTAGTATTCTTTGTATACCATTGTTACTATTATTCCTATTATAGTTGGTATATAATTAAGTACACCGTGGTTACTGGTATATCATGATACCAACACTTTGGGGATACCCTAAAGTTGGTATACTACTATTTTCAGTAATGATAGTATACTTTAGAGTATATTTCCCTCGGTATAACATATCATACCATGATCACTTGTATTCCCATAATGTTGGTATACAATTATTTCAAGTAGTATACCATCATGGTGACTGGTATTCCCAGCAATAACTGGCATTGTAATATATCATGATAACCGGTATTCCCATTATCCTTGATCATTATTGGTATTTCCAATGGGTCTTTGGTATAACAACAGAATCTACTATAATAACTGGTATCCTCAGTGGTCATGGTATATCTTTAACATTAATAGACCAAATTTTTTTTATAGAAGCATAGAATGTTGATATTAGTATAAGGTAACGGTTGCACAAGGAGCACAATTACAACCAAAAGACTAAATTTAAGATTTCTCAAAAGAAATTTAGAAGATGTTTGCATATACTATACTCAGAAGCAAAAAACTAGTAATTTTCTAAAGTACATCAGTAATTTTGCAATGCTCACAACTATAATACTACTTTTCCAAAATATGAAAGTACTAATTAATCAACATCATCACTGACACCTAAAACCTAAAAAATTACTTCTTAATCCTTGTGTTGCGCATTTTTGAAATACAAGGTTTGTCTAATCTTCCGGTGGCCTTATCTTCACTAACCAGATTTTCCACCTGCATTTTCTTCCTGTAATGGTATAACGTTTCAAATCTAGTTCGGAGATGTTGAGAATCAAAGATGTCATTGTTTGCAAGAATCTTCTTATCTTCAATGATATACTTCGCAAATGCACAAACATATACACTGGAATCACTACATACAAAAACATAAATAAAAAATAAACAAGACAACAATAAAACAACAAACACTGAAGAAGATTATCTAAAACAACATAACCACTTATGCTTTTTCCTATTCAGGCAAGTCGTTCACTGATAAAAGAGGAAATGGATCAGCCATATTCTCTTTCCCCAAATAATGAGAGTGATCCCTTGTAAATACAATCAACCGTACGTAAAACTGCAACATTACCTGCGAGTTACAATTAACTTTCTTTCAACAAACTGAGAAAACTCATGACTAACTAATAGAGGAACTTCTTGTGTAATTGAGGTTTTAAAAGGGTGATCCCCTTTCACAACAACACGAGGTACAACAGGTTTTCTCATTCTTGTTGCATCTTCTTGACTTGAGTCATCTGAAACCACATAAGCTTGAACCTCTCACATGTTGACTGAATCGACAAAGAAGACATTGCAACACCTTCACGTGTAGAGCAATTTGGTATAGAACACATTACAGGACCTACACCTATAGAATGGTTCACAATCTCAGAAGTTAGTTTATGAATCTGAGACTCAATCTGAGAGTCGCTCATCTCAAGCTCGTAATCTGGAAACATTTCCGTTGTTGATTGTTTACGAATCTCAAGGGCTGGAACATCTTCATCACCTGAATGTTTAGGCATCTGACAAGATGGAAAATCTTCAATTGTTGTTTGTTTACCAATCTCACATGGTAATATATGAGCCTCCGTATCACAGATTTCAAACTACTTATCATCATCCATATTTCCTAAAGTCGTTTTACTAACTCCAACATCAACTAACGCAGGTGCTACATAAAATACATCAAGCTGTCAGAAAGATAAGCATAAAGAAAATTAAATATTGAACTATACATTTAAATACCATAAGTCCCTTCCTTGATCCCTTTTAAATTCACAACTTTATTATTATTGCCATCATTTTTATGGGTATCATGGGCATCCTCTTCACAGCCAGACACTAAAGCATTTTTAAATTCTTATTACAGAACAAGTAAAAAAGTCGCAACTAAAATGAAACAAGCAGTATGTTGAAATCCCAAAAATAGACCAACATATAATACACCAGTCTACTAGTATACCCTCTTTCTCTTTGTTTTCATCGACCGCATCCTGATTAGCATCACCATCAGCATCTTTATCTTTTTTGACATATCTGTTATATTAGTGCTACATCAGAAATTTCAAAAAAGTCTTATTAACTTCAGAACTACCAAAAAATAGAAAAATAATACAACAAGGTAAACTGGTATACCTTTAATTGCTCTTCTTAATTGAATCAATGGTATCGAACACCTCTACAAATTTCTCTGCCAGATAATTTTTTAAAATCACTAGTTCATCCTTATATTCCTTATTCAATGATAATACTTCTTTCTTCAATTCCTCTTGGCCATCTACCAAAATCTTAAACTGAACATCCTAGTCATTACCTACGGGCAAGACATTTTTACCTTTAGACTGTTTTGTTATTTTTTTTTAGGTGGAAGGTCGATAAAGGCATTCCCTGAACTATGACATTTGTCATGAATATTCTCTACCACCTCCTTCTCCAAGTCATTTGCAGTTTTGCTTTGTATTTTGATATTTGAGGTGGAGGATCAACAAAGTCATTATCTGTTACCTTATTGTCCAAGTCAACTGTAGCTTTCCCCTGCCTTTTCACCTGCCATTTGTCCTGCCTTTTTGAGCTCTCAGGTGGATGATCAACAAAGTCATCATCTGAACTAGGTTGTTTCTAATAAACATTATTTGCCACGTCATTCTCCAAGTCGTCAAGAGACATATTTCTTAAATTCAAATACATAAACTAACATCTAATAAGTTAGTAAAAAAAAGTTCTTACTGATGGTATACTATTTTACATAAGAAATAGTCACAGTTATACTAGTGACTTGGTATACTAGAATACAAATGTGTATATCACATGATATACCACTATTAACTGAAACAAATATCTAATAAGTTAGTAACCCACTATCAAGCAAAATGCTAGAGATTAATTCCAAGGTAGCCTTGTATGCATCTCTTCCCCATGGATAACTGTTATAGTCACCTTCCTCAACCAAGTCAAAGTAACCCACTATCAACCAATTTGGTTTTCTTTATATAATGGAGAGAGGAGTTTAT